TTTGGCAAATCGATCTTCATTTCTTCATATGTCTGAAACAGTTTTTCTAGATTTTCATGATTTGGAATCTTTTTCTTTGCGTCAAATTGAATGATAAAATTTCGCTGGTTAGTGTTTAACCTGTACTGTTCTATATTTTTGAACAACTTTTCCTTTTCCGCTTCTTTGTCCTGCTTTTGTTTGTACTTTAGCTTTTTCATCAGTCTCTTCTTCGACACATTTTCCATAGAACAGAGTTGTTTGTATTTGTTGTTTATCCTTTCGATTTCTTTTCTACGTGATTTGTTTTCTTCTCTTCCTGTTTCGTCTGGCTCATGTGAATGATCACTTGGATTTTTTATTCGATCTGTGTTGGCACATTGGGGGGCTTCCTCTTGGGAGTTCTCATTGTGGAATTTCACATCTTGGTCACTTTTCCCCTTCTGGAGAGCTTCCTTTGGTTCGTCAGTCCCATTCAGAGTAGTGACGGGACAGTCCCTTAGCAGCTCATTTTTTAGACCATTTAGCGAAGGCAGGTTACTTTTTGTGATTATTTTTTTTACTCTCTTCAAATGTTTTTCTCTTTTTTTCCTAATTCTTTCTTCGTATTCTAGTTTTTTTTTTTCCTTGTTCGTTAATTTCTTCTTATGCGAAAGTACGGTTGACGTCGTCTCGTCTTCATGTTCCAAGTTTTCCTCTGTTGTAAGGTCATTATCAGATGCAAATTTACTAATCATTTTGTCATTTTGAAGAATTAAAAAAGGGGATGAGGGGAGAGTTCTAAATGTAGAAGTGGTAATCAATCGCGTAAGGGTTTCAAAAAAGGCAAATTTCGGGAAAGTTGGTTCACTTGCACAGAAAATTGACAAACTGTATGTTTTACATATGCGCACGTTGGGTTTGAATGGGGCTATTTGTATTAGTATTTATATGAACTTTAAAATTACATCCATGTTTGTAATGACATACAGAGGAGGAAAGAAATGGAACAAAATTAAATAAGCTGCACTATCAACATCTCTTCTTTTTATATATATTTTTCCCTTCGCATTATGCCAATATCCACAATGCTTGAAGCTGAAACGATTTTTTCCGCCCGTTCTTTGTAAGCGGCACAGGGAAAAAAATGTACGTAAAAAGAAAAAAAAAAAAGAAAATATATATATATTTTTTTTTTACTGCACAGGAGGAAAATTTTCACTTGCATCTATTACGCATGTGAAAATACATTGTAATGCGTATTTCCCCCCTTTTCTGTTGCGTAATTATGAAATAATTTTTTTTCGAGAAAGAAGGAAAAAATAAGCGTACGTTTTGGAAAAGAGGAGTGAGCGCGAGTGTCACGTTGGCGCAGCTTGAAGGATTGAACATCGAGTTGTCATATGGGCATCCACATAAGTACGCACGTTTATACGCACGTTCGTACGTACGTTCGTATGCATGGTTATATATACATATTTACGTATACATATGTAACGTGTAGTATTAAGCATATGGGAGAAAAAATCACGCGTTACAGCTTGGTCATGTCGACGCTTTGATATGCCAGGAAGGGGGAACATGAACATATCCTTGTTAAGCCAACGTAAAAGGGCAGTCCCAATTCTGCTCCGCTGGTATAGCAGTGTTCGCATTTTGTTGCGACATTCTTTGGTATAGCACCTGGCACAACGTGTGGGCCACTCTGCGCAGTGATTTCCCCCCCTTTTTGCTCCGATGGGCAAATGTCAGACAGTCCTTAAGAGACTCCGCACATTTCCCAACAATTGATGAGCCGCCACTGACTGGAATGTTCTGTTCATTACGAAGCAACTGTCCCAGTTTGATACAAAAAAAAAAGAGTGTTGCTGTAAATATCTGTAGCGTCACTTGAGAGAAAAACTGCTTCGCATAGTAACGTAGGTATATAACGAGAAGGGAAGAGTGTGGACTGTCAGACACCATTTTCAAGCTGCTGACTGGCCATTTATTCAAAAGTAAGGATCATATAAGAGTACATTTTATCCAGGGAGAATAAGCCAAAACCAAAATGACAGGAAGTATTCAGAACAGAGGAAGTCGTCTAATCGGGTATGAAGACAGCAGCAATAAAGAGTTCATCAGGAAATACCTAGTAGAAACAAGAAATGAATTTATAGAAAAACAAATGAGGGCATTGTATGAATGTAGAGAAATATACAAAGATGATATAGACGAAGTGATAAATATTTTGACCTACGCATTAGAAAATAATGACAGCGTCTTATTAAGACATGAAGTAGCATATGTTATAGGGCAAATAAGTAATGAGAAATGCAATGACATTTTAATCAATCTGCTAAACGATACGGAAGAGAATTTAATGGTTCGACATGAAGCTGCTGAAGGGTTAGCTGCAATAGGGACTTATTCAAATATTGAAGTTATAAAAAAGTTTTTAAATGATGAAAAGGTAGAAGTTCGAGAGACATGTGAATTGGCTCTCAGTTCTTTGTTAGAAAAAAATAAGTATGTTGTATGTTCATGCAGTAATAAAGATAGCATAAAAGAAGCAATAAAAAAAAAACGGAATGAAGAATTTGTTTCAAAGAAATTCAACACAATAGATCCAGTTGTATTTACATCAAGTAATAATGCCAAATGTGTTGATGCACTTATCGAAGACTTAAATAATGAAACGGTTCCGTTAAAACTAAGATATGAGGCTTTATTTAAATTAAGAGATATGGAAACTGATATCTCCATAAACGCTTTAGGAGAAGTATTGATAAAAGATAAAAAATCCGCAATTTTTCGACATGAAGTTGCTTTTGTGTTAGGCCAAGCATTACATTTAAACTCTTTGAAATATTTAATTTCTTCTCTGCAAAATATTGGGGAACATGAAATGGTTAGACATGAGGTTGCCCTTGCCTTAGGATCTCTTGGAAGTTTAAATATAAATTCGCAAGAATATAAAAATGTTCAAAGCGAAATTATAAGCACTTTGAAAACCTTTTCGAAGGATGCCTGTAGAGTTGTATCTGAGAGTTGCCTGGTTGGACTGGATTACATAGCAGAGAATTTAAACGTGACAATAGAAATAAACTGATTCGTCTTTTACTCCGTAACATTTTTTTTTCCCCATTTTTATGACCCATTTCTAACCCATATGTTTTTGTGCACCTATTCATTTTGGTCATTTTTGACTGCACCAATTTTTCGTGTACACCTTCTAGTTGGCCCCTCGTGTACCCCCTCGTATACGCCCTTTTTTTTGAGTTCTTTTTCAAATTCGAATTTGCTAAAATAAAACCTTACGTTTAACGCGTAACATCGAAAATGGAGAAAAAGGAAAAAAAAAAGAAAAAATTTTCCGTATATAATGTGGCCCCATCATGCGAGGTGCCCACCACGAGATGCCCAATTTCACCTCGAAACGGGGCTCCATTCTTAATTTTTACAGTCCGTTGCTGCGTTCACCTTTTATGTGTGTGTATGCTTCCACAAAACGGGAAAAAGATGAATGTAAAAAAGGAAAGAAAAGTTCGTGACCCTTTAAAATTGTGGTAGGAGGCTATGCCAGTTGAGGTGTAAACGAAACTTACTGAGCACGACGCGAAGTGTTGCCTCTGGTTTGAGCGCGCCCCCCTTTTTCCTCGCAAATAGCGGGAGTGGTGCAAAATGAACAAACAAGTAAAATTTTCTAGAAATGCAACAGCTTTGCGTGGTCCAAGAAAATGTTCCCAATATGGTGTTAAAGATTGTAATAAAAAAGGAGCATCCATCCAGTTAAGCAGCGTCGCACTGAGCAGTTTTTGTTTTCTGGGAGAATGTAGAACAATACGAGATATGCTCCCGCGTTGTTTTTTTTCTACATTTTTCCCCTTTTTTTCGTTTTTTTTTTTACCCCTTTTTGGCTAAATAGGAGCAGCAGCCATGTGGTAGCAACATATGGGCGAAATTTTTAAACCACAATAAAAACAGTTCATATTATGCAATGGATGTAAATTCATGGAACGAAATTTTTCCCGAGGGCCCTCGAGAAATGATGCCGTTCACCATTTAACATGGGTTTTATTTTTCATCTTTTTCAAAAATGCTTAAGTGTTGGGATACGTACACATACATGATACATAAATAAATGAACACAAGTTTTACAGTTACGTAAGAATGTTTTACCGTTTGGGCATTTTATTTTTTACTCCACCTATTTGTATGCAAAACTTGGGTAAAAATGTAAAAAGGTATAATGCCTTTTTCGTAATGCATTTTTGTCACATTTGTGTTTATCCAGCAAAGGATATTATGCAAACACATGACGTTTGATATAATCCCGGGTGCAGGTGAATTACGCGCAACTGAGATGTTGAACTGCGCATATATGTAAATTTTTATGTACGTTCGCAGGGAGGCAGCAAAAGTGAGGGTCCCTTCCACGTTGAATGTGCAGTTTTGTGTATGAATTATTTTGCGAATATATGCACTTTGTCGGAATGTGCATTTTGCATCTACAAGAGGGTAAAATATAGGTATTTCTGTGTATGCATTCAGACGTGTGCCTATACACAAGGATATATGTGCCTGCCCCTTTGTTTGCTTGCACGTATTTATGTGTTTTCCTCAAAGTGGAGAAAACACATCCTGCCGGGATTTCTTATTTTTCATGTCTACGGCAAAAATTTGCACAAAGGGGGATCAATATTTAAATGCACATTCTTCACTTTTTAAAATTTCATAAATACTTCCTCGTGAAGGATTTAATGTCTTAGAGAAATATTCTACATAATGGATGAATTTTTAAGGCATAACTCTTATCTACACACCATATATGTGTTTTTATGTGCCAAGTCCCTTGGCAGCACTTAATTGTTTTTATACATCCTGGCAATTTTTTTTTTTTTTTCTTACCAAGTGAAAGGGGGAAAATAAAATATTACGTCAATTTAAACTTAAATGCACATTTTTAAAAATTCTAAAGGAGAAAAGTAACAAAATGTACTCCTCTACCCACAAAAAAAAAAAACAAAAAAAACAAAATAAAAAAATAAAAATAACTAAAATGAGATATACACAAATTATGCTTGCACATATTTTAAGCATAGCTTGAGAGAAAAGTACAAATTATGCATTTTTTGGCTACATTTCTTGCAGGAGGAGAAAAAGATAAAGAACAGTATGTTAATGTATACTTTATAAAACTGTTTCCGTGAATTCTTTTTGTTTTGCTTCCCCTCTTCTCCAGGAAGTTGGTTAGCCACACTGGGCACGTACAATTTGTGCATTAACCAAAGAGATACGAATGATGGGGGGAATCTTCTGTTCGTCCTGGTATATTTATCTAAGTACATATATAAGTAATGTATATACGTACGTATATGTATGTCCCTATGCTTGCATACCTGTGCAGGGGCGTACCCATGCATTTATTCCCATGCAAATGCATATGGCAACTTGGTTATACACCTGCGTCTGTATAGTTATTTAGAGTAGATAATTGCTCAGCATTTTTACATTTTTCTTTTTTTTTTTTTTTTGTTCGCCTCTAAAGGAGGACACAATGAATAAGGGAACTTTTTCCCCTACTGTGGAAAAGGAAAGCCCACATATTTTTTTATTTTTTATGAATTTTTTTTTTGTGCGTGCGACTCGGTGAACTAAACTGATATGAAATAACCAAATACAGAACGAGATAACAGGAAGACATTGTTCAAATGTAGGAATGAACCCTATGCGAAGTTTTTATTATGTCACATAATAGGATTTTCTTTTTTTCTTTTTTAAACTGTGCTACCATCAAGGGTACGGCCTAATTTTCTAATTTTTTTGTAGTAATTGTTTTTTTTCTTTCTTCCCCTTTCTTTGCAAAGAGGCCTGAATACAAATAAGAAAAAGGCACAGGAGGGAGAACAGGAAGAAGAGGACAGACGAGAAGAGGCAACATTGGGTTAGCAAAAACGATACAGAACAAAGCAGATTGGCCAAATTTTACACATTTAGATGGAAAATCAATTCAATGCCAAATTAGAATGCGTCACGGATTTTAGCTTATTTGAAAAATTAAAAAAATCGATCATAAAAGACAATGTGAACGAACTGTACATATCCTCGTTAAGATCCATTTTGGAAAAGGTAAAGGATCCGGTTGTTGATACCAGTCACATTATTTGCAATCACCACTACGCCGAAGCGGTTCTCTTTTTTTACGCAACGTTAATTATTGAAAAATATGAATTCGTTTCTGTCTTTTGTGAAGATATAATTTCAAAGAACCGATTTGAAGATGTAGTGGAAAATTTAGAAAGAATAAACGTGAAACATGTGGAAAGTTTGAGTAAGATAAAAAAAATAATTATTGAAAATATAGACAACTGTGAAAAGTGCTTGATGATTTATTATCTGTTGCAGAAGGAATTCCTAGAAATCATATCCATGTATACAAAAAATGAGGAAGCATTAATAAATTTCGTGAAAAAAGAAATTTTCAAATTCAACTTTAATCGACTACTTAATAAGATAATTTGTCCTGTGGAATATGACAAGATTGATTCTGTTGTACTAGAGCTTATGCTAAATGGGGGGAAAATATTTCAAGTGAATGATAATTACCAGTTGGAGGCGAGCCAAATAAATGAGGTAAACCTGAAATTATTCACGGAGAAATTTCTAAGTTTAAAAGATGACAGTATATATGATATTATAAAAAAGTATGCACACCATGAGTCGCTAATTTTTCTTTGCAATCTTGTCCACATGGAATTTAAGGAGTGTAAAAAATTGTTAACAAAAGCGAATGGTCAAATGTGTAAGAAGATAGGTTCTCCAAACGATGACTTAAAAAATTGCAACGAGAACGAATCGGAAGAAAATTGCGATAGCTATAGCATCACAGAAAATTTGCAGTCATATGTGTATGTACATATGTTCCTGCTTTTCCAGCATAGGGAAGTGGAAAATAGCATAATAAAAGTTCTGAAGGATAAGATTATCCTTTATTCCTTAATGCTGAATGCGCTGAGATATGCAGACAATTTTATCCAGTTGATAATTTTCAAAATTATAAATTTTACCTTTATAAATGACGACAACTTTTTAAATGATTCAAATAAAAAATTGATAATATCCATTTTGTCCTACTGGGTTAAGCTAGCGGACGCTTGTATTATTAAAATCATAAACACGAATTTGGCTGAGGGGAATGTCGGCTCAAATGTGCAAAAAACTGATAATTTTTTTTTAAAAAAAAAATTTTCAGACTATGACATATTTAAGTATATACAGTGTTTAATCAGTGCAATATATTTGCTATCCCTTATTAAGAGGAGGAGCAAAATGGAAGGGTCTAATTTGCTAGCGGAACCATCAACTCTGGAAAAGTATAAGCGGAGTATGGCCTCTTATATGAATGAATATAATTTAGAGAGCTTATCCTTGAACGCCTATTTTACAAAGAATGACGTGTATGATTATTTCTTGGGTATCCTATTTTCAGAAAATAAAGAAGTAATTAATAAGCTGTTTAATTTAATATTCAAACTGTTGCACTTTGTAAAAAATTCCAAGGTGTACATTTCGAAAAACACCAATATAAAGAATAAATATTTTGAGGAAGCCACTATATTTTCTTGCATAAATATTGTGTACAACATTATGGACGTGACGAAAAGGATGTTTTTGAATTCGTTCGAGGTCGATGAGTATACAAAAAATTTGTACAGGAAATGTCTGAGAGAGAAAAAAAACGCCTTTGATTGCATTGTTTTCCATTCCTTTCCGCAATTTCTTAGCCACAGGGATTACTACCTGCGTTTGTACGCAGTTAAGGTAATTGGAGGCGGCTTATACGTTTTCCATATGTACACATGCGCTTGTGTGGTTGTTTATAACAGTCGAACATTCCACGCGTTGCTGAAACAGATATACATTATTTTTCTCTTTTTTTTTTGGTGCATGTGCACTCTTGCAGGTTTTGTCAACCCTTTTGTCTGATTCGGCTATTCGGGATTCACTGGAGAAGAATACAATTTTTGAAATCTTCGATTCACTCATAAGCATGAAACTCCATAACGAACAACAGAAAAGGAACGATGAGAGGAAAAACGTAAATATTTTGCTCCTGCTCCTGTTGAAGGCAAATATAAGAGACAGCAAATATTCCAGTAAAACGACAAATATAATATTTAGCGATAAACAGAAAGATGTTAAGAAGTACATTGCATCAATCTGCGATGATGGCTTCCCCCTTCTAGAATTGAAAACTATGTTTGAATATTTTTTTGTCTTGTTTGTAAAAATAATCAACGTCATTGTAAAACGGGTGTTGTCCCTTTTGGAGATAGAAAAGTATAAAATGCTATTTATGAATGTCTTCGAAATTGTAGAACTCTTCATGCAGGAATTAAAAAAGGAGAAGAGCAAAAAATGCAGATGTTTTTTTTTTTCCGCAGCCATGTATTTTTCGCACCTGATTTCGAATAGCATATATAAGTCCAAGGTGCATTCCTCTGTTCCTTTTCTGAATAAGGTTTTTAGCTTAATTAAAAATATTGAGAATTACGTAGATTTGATGTATGATGATTTGGTTACGTTTAAGGATGCACAGGAGGAGCTCTCTGAGGCTGGAACGTATGAAGAACAACTATCTCAGGAGGGAACATATGACGAAGGGGTAACTGAAGAGGGGCTCCTTGACGAAGGTTTATCAGATGATGAGGTGTATTATTCTAGTGATTCAAATTCGAAGACCATGAAGGATATGCACATGCTCTATTTTTATAATAGCACGTTTTGTGAGGACGAAAAGGAGGGGGGGAAGAAGGGATCAATTGATGCTACCACGGACAGGAACAGCCGGAGCAATCGGAACGGTGGCGCCACTGGGGGGATGCTGCACCATGTTAACAAAGGGGAAGTGGAAAGGTCCAATTCAAATGGATTAAGCAAGTTCAAAGTTTTCATGAATAGGTCAATTACCAAGAGCAAAGTGAACGAAGAAGGGATTTACAATTACATGCACAGTTTTTTTTTTCTATGCGTAAGTAATGCAAGTATGAAAACTAGGAGGCACGTGGTAAAATCGTACGACCTGATCGCGAAGTATCTCATGAAGGATGAATACAAATTAAATAGAGTCAAAAAGAAAAGCGGCATTTTTTCTCCGCCAATTGTAATTATTAGAGATGTGGAGAACGAAGAAAAAAGGTATAATATAACAGTTGATAAGTACGATTATATGTTAAAAACCTACATAGTGGACTTGTTCAAATCGAAAAGGTACATGTACATTTTTTTATTGTCAATCTTCCAGTTTAGTAACATAGTCATTTTGTATTTAAAAAAAACAAATTCCATAAGCAACGATTTTGATGAAAAATTTGATGTGCTAGAATGCTTTATGCTGGTAAATTCGAAGACTTGGTTTTATCTGAATGTTGCGATTGAATGTGTACAGAAATATATGAACAAGAGAAAAGCAGATCAGTTCCTACTACAAATCCTTACTTTAATAATAGACAACATGTGGAAAATTATCCTATTCATTGTTTTTAATATAAAAATAAAAACTTTTTCGATAAGATCCAAAACGCATTCTATACATATTTTCGCTAAATTCGAAGACTTGGTTTTATCTGAATGTTGCGATTGAATGTGTACAGAAATATATGAACAAGAGAAAAGCAGATCAGTTCCTACTACAAATCCTTACTTTAATAATAGACAACATGTGGAAAATTATCCTATTCATTGTTTTTAATATAAAAATAAAAACTTTTTCGATAAGATCCAAAACGCATTCTATACATATTTTCGCTAAATTCGAAGACTTGGTTTTATCTGAATGTTGCGATTGAATGTGTACAGAAATATATGAACAAGAGAAAAGCAGATCAGTTCCTACTACAAATCCTTACTTTAATAATAGACAACATGTGGAAAATTATCCTATTCATTGTTTTTAATATAAAAATAAAAACTTTTTCGATAAGATCCAAAACGCATTCTATACATATTTTCGCTAAATTCGAAGACTTGGTTTTATCTGAATGTTGCGATTGAATGTGTACAGAAATATATGAACAAGAGAAAAGCAGATCAGTTCCTACTACAAATCCTTACTTTAATAATAGACAACATGTGGAAAATTATCCTATTCATTGTTTTTAATATAAAAATAAAAACTTTTTCGATAAGATCCAAAACGCATTCTATACATATTTTCGCTAAATTCGAAGACTTGGTTTTATCTGAATGTTGCGATTGAATGTGTACAGAAATATATGAACAAGAGAAAAGCAGATCAGTTCCTACTACAAATCCTTACTTTAATAATAGACAACATGTGGAAAATTATCCTATTCATTGTTTTTAATATAAAAATAAAAACTTTTTCGATAAGATCCAAAACGCATTCTATACATATTTTCGCTAAATTCGAAGACTTGGTTTTATCTGAATGTTGCGATTGAATGTGTACAGAAATATATGAACAAGAGAAAAGCAGATCAGTTCCTACTACAAATCCTTACTTTAATAATAGACAACATGTGGAAAATTATCCTATTCATTGTTTTTAATATAAAAATAAAAACTTTTTCGATAAGATCCAAAACGCATTCTATACATATTTTCGCTAAATTCGAAGACTTGGTTTTATCTGAATGTTGCGATTGAATGTGTACAGAAATATATGAACAAGAGAAAAGCAGATCAGTTCCTACTACAAATCCTTACTTTAATAATAGACAACATGTGGAAAATTATCCTATTCATTGTTTTTAATATAAAAATAAAAACTTTTTCGATAAGATCCAAAACGCATTCTATACATATTTTCGCTAAATTCGAAGACTTGGTTTTATCTGAATGTTGCGATTGAATGTGTACAGAAATATATGAACAAGAGAAAAGCAGATCAGTTCCTACTACAAATCCTTACTTTAATAATAGACAACATGTGGAAAATTATCCTATTCATTGTTTTTAATATAAAAATAAAAACTTTTTCGATAAGATCCAAAACGCATTCTATACATATTTTCGCTAAATTCGAAGACTTGGTTTTATCTGAATGTTGCGATTGAATGTGTACAGAAATATATGAACAAGAGAAAAGCAGATCAGTTCCTACTACAAATCCTTACTTTAATAATAGACAACATGTGGAAAATTATCCTATTCATTGTTTTTAATATAAAAATAAAAACTTTTTCGATAAGATCCAAAACGCATTCTATACATATTTTCGCTAAATTCGAAGACTTGGTTTTATCTGAATGTTGCGATTGAATGTGTACAGAAATATATGAACAAGAGAAAAGCAGATCAGTTCCTACTACAAATCCTTACTTTAATAATAGACAACATGTGGAAAATTATCCTATTCATTGTTTTTAATATAAAAATAAAAACTTTTTCGATAAGATCCAAAACGCATTCTATACATATTTTCGCTAAATTCGAAGACTTGGTTTTATCTGAATGTTGCGATTGAATGTGTACAGAAATATATGAACAAGAGAAAAGCAGATCAGTTCCTACTACAAATCCTTACTTTAATAATAGACAACATGTGGAAAATTATCCTATTCATTGTTTTTAATATAAAAATAAAAACTTTTTCGATAAGATCCAAAACGCATTCTATACATATTTTCGCTAAATTCGAAGACTTGGTTTTATCTGAATGTTGCGATTGAATGTGTACAGAAATATATGAACAAGAGAAAAGCAGATCAGTTCCTACTACAAATCCTTACTTTAATAATAGACAACATGTGGAAAATTATCCTATTCATTGTTTTTAATATAAAAATAAAAACTTTTTCGATAAGATCCAAAACGCATTCTATACATATTTTCGCTAAATTCGAAGACTTGGTTTTATCTGAATGTTGCGATTGAATGTGTACAGAAATATATGAACAAGAGAAAAGCAGATCAGTTCCTACTACAAATCCTTACTTTAATAATAGACAACATGTGGAAAATTATCCTATTCATTGTTTTTAATATAAAAATAAAAACTTTTTCGATAAGATCCAAAACGCATTCTATACATATTTTCGCTAAATTCGAAGACTTGGTTTTATCTGAATGTTGCGATTGAATGTGTACAGAAATATATGAACAAGAGAAAAGCAGATCAGTTCCTACTACAAATCCTTACTTTAATAATAGACAACATGTGGAAAATTATCCTATTCATTGTTTTTAATATAAAAATAAAAACTTTTTCGATAAGATCCAAAACGCATTCTATACATATTTTCGCTAAATTCGAAGACTTGGTTTTATCTGAATGTTGCGATTGAATGTGTACAGAAATATATGAACAAGAGAAAAGCAGATCAGTTCCTACTACAAATCCTTACTTTAATAATAGACAACATGTGGAAAATTATCCTATTCATTGTTTTTAATATAAAAATAAAAACTTTTTCGATAAGATCCAAAACGCATTCTATACATATTTTCGCTAAATTCGAAGACTTGGTTTTATCTGAATGTTGCGATTGAATGTGTACAGAAATATATGAACAAGAGAAAAGCAGATCAGTTCCTACTACAAATCCTTACTTTAATAATAGACAACATGTGGAAAATTATCCTATTCATTGTTTTTAATATAAAAATAAAAACTTTTTCGATAAGATCCAAAACGCATTCTATACATATTTTCGCTAAATTCGAAGACTTGGTTTTATCTGAATGTTGCGATTGAATGTGTACAGAAATATATGAACAAGAGAAAAGCAGATCAGTTCCTACTACAAATCCTTACTTTAATAATAGACAACATGTGGAAAATTATCCTATTCATTGTTTTTAATATAAAAATAAAAACTTTTTCGATAAGATCCAAAACGCATTCTATACATATTTTCGCTAAATTCGAAGACTTGGTTTTATCTGAATGTTGCGATTGAATGTGTACAGAAATATATGAACAAGAGAAAAGCAGATCAGTTCCTACTACAAATCCTTACTTTAATAATAGACAACATGTGGAAAATTATCCTATTCATTGTTTTTAATATAAAAATAAAAACTTTTTCGATAAGATCCAAAACGCATTCTATACATATTTTCGCTAAATTCGAAGACTTGGTTTTATCTGAATGTTGCGATTGAATGTGTACAGAAATATATGAACAAGAGAAAAGCAGATCAGTTCCTACTACAAATCCTTACTTTAATAATAGACAACATGTGGAAAATTATCCTATTCATTGTTTTTAATATAAAAATAAAAACTTTTTCGATAAGATCCAAAACGCATTCTATACATATTTTCGCTAAATTCGAAGACTTGGTTTTATCTGAATGTTGCGATTGAATGTGTACAGAAATATATGAACAAGAGAAAAGCAGATCAGTTCCTACTACAAATCCTTACTTTAATAATAGACAACATGTGGAAAATTATCCTATTCATTGTTTTTAATATAAAAATAAAAACTTTTTCGATAAGATCCAAAACGCATTCTATACATATTTTCGCTAAATTCGAAGACTTGGTTTTATCTGAATGTTGCGATTGAATGTGTACAGAAATATATGAACAAGAGAAAAGCAGATCAGTTCCTACTACAAATCCTTACTTTAATAATAGACAACATGTGGAAAATTATCCTATTCATTGTTTTTAATATAAAAATAAAAACTTTTTCGATAAGATCCAAAACGCATTCTATACATATTTTCGCTAAATTCGAAGACTTGGTTTTATCTGAATGTTGCGATTGAATGTGTACAGAAATATATGAACAAGAGAAAAGCAGATCAGTTCCTACTACAAATCCTTACTTTAATAATAGACAACATGTGGAAAATTATCCTATTCATTGTTTTTAATATAAAAATAAAAACTTTTTCGATAAGATCCAAAACGCATTCTATACATATTTTCGCTAAATTCGAAGACTTGGTTTTATCTGAATGTTGCGATTGAATGTGTACAGAAATATATGAACAAGAGAAAAGCAGATCAGTTCCTACTACAAATCCTTACTTTAATAATAGACAACATGTGGAAAATTATCCTATTCATTGTTTTTAATATAAAAATAAAAACTTTTTCGATAAGATCCAAAACGCATTCTATACATATTTTCGCTAAATTCGAAGACTTGGTTTTATCTGAATGTTGCGATTGAATGTGTACAGAAATATATGAACAAGAGAAAAGCAGATCAGTTCCTACTACAAATCCTTACTTTAATAATAGACAACATGTGGAAAATTATCCTATTCATTGTTTTTAATATAAAAATAAAAACTTTTTCGATAAGATCCAAAACGCATTCTATACATATTTTCGCTAAATTCGAAGACTTGGTTTTATCTGAATGTTGCGATTGAATGTGTACAGAAATATATGAACAAGAGAAAAGCAGATCAGTTCCTACTACAAATCCTTACTTTAATAATAGACAACATGTGGAAAATTATCCTATTCATTGTTTTTAATATAAAAATAAAAACTTTTTCGATAAGATCCAAAACGCATTCTATACATATTTTCGCTAAATTCGAAGACTTGGTTTTATCTGAATGTTGCGATTGAATGTGTACAGAAATATATGAACAAGAGAAAAGCAGATCAGTTCCTACTACAAATCCTTACTTTAATAATAGACAACATGTGGAAAATTATCCTATTCATTGTTTTTAATATAAAAATAAAAACTTTTTCGATAAGATCCAAAACGCATTCTATACATATTTTCGCTAAATTCGAAGACTTGGTTTTATCTGAATGTTGCGATTGAATGTGTACAGAAATATATGAACAAGAGAAAAGCAGATCAGTTCCTACTACAAATCCTTACTTTAATAATAGACAACATGTGGAAAATTATCCTATTCATTGTTTTTAATATAAAAATAAAAACTTTTTCGATAAGATCCAAAACGCATTCTATACATATTTTCGCAAGAGACTCCTTGTTATTATTTCTAAACTTTTTTTCCACATGGATTTTGTTCATCAGAAAATTTTATTCAAAAGGGGATGCTTTTCCCCCGGATGTTATACTACCTAAGTTATTCTTCAGGAAATTTAGCAGTCTCTCTATGCAAATTCTAATCATCTTCAATTTTGTCGAATCGAATTTGTCCTCACTTAGTCACCATGAGACGAATGCATCATTGTTAATAAAGCAGAAAGAAATTATGGGAAACATCTTAGATGCACTGATAGGTCTAGCAAAAGATAAAGCACCCGATGGGCATGAAAGCGATTTGAATAGTCTTCTCCAGTTTAAACTAAAATTGAACAGTTTAGCAACGCCAAAAAATGTCCAGGAACTGGCTCATGTCTGCGACTATGAAGCAGTGTTTGCTAAAACGAAGCAAATCTTAATCGGTAAGGAGAAAAAGAATAATCTATTCGTTACAGGAGTAGAGGCCACAGAAGGAAGGAGCAAAGCGTATATGGGTAGGTTTATCATATTAAACGACTGGGTGCATGGCCCCCAAGGGGGGCATGCACATGCGTGTGGTGAGACGGGCATGTGTACATTTATGTATATACACATATATATAGATATTTGCATACATGTTGATATACATATTTACATACATATATATATGTATTTATTTTATTTTTTTTCCCCACCCGTGTAGCCCCCAATGCAGCAAACCTAGCGAAGAATAACGACCCCAGCCGCAAACTGCTTACGGGCTCCGGACAGGAGTATAACTCGGATGGCTTTACGTGCAGGAAAGAGAAGGAGTTGGAAGCAGGAAGATCGAGAGCAGCATTGGGAGAAACATCAGGAGTCGCGTCAGGAGCAACATCAAGAGTGGCGTCAGGAGTAGCGTTAGCAGTAGGATCAGGAATGGCGTCAAGGGAAGTATCCAGATCGGCGTCGAGGTCGCACTCCCCCTCCGACAGCCTAAGTTCAAAGGATGGCAAATGCAAAAAAGGTGAAGGAAAAGAGAAGCAACCTAATTTCGACCACTTGTCCGAGGAAATGAGAAAAGAAGCAGCCTTAGAAAGGGCCAAAAAAATTTTAGAAAAAACGGCTGCCTTCAAAACGCAGAAAAGAGCCATTGTACTGAATGAAACAAATGCGAAGAATAACAAACATGAATATTTTAAACAGATGAAGGGAAAGAGACTGGAAGCAGAGAATAGCCTGAATAAGTATTATGTCATGTTGCAGGAGTTCCTCAATTGGGACTTTAGCTGTTTGGAGAACATGGAAAAGTACAAGAGGTGTATTAATGAGGAGATCCCCCTGTGCTTCAGGAGCGAGGAAGATTACTACAGGTAAGGGAAAGAGAGGCAAAGGGGGAGTGCGGGAAGAGGCAATACAAAAGAGAGGTGATGCAGCCGAAAGGTGGTACATCTACTGGGGGAGCACAAACAGTTATGTGCACCATTCTTTTTGATATGAAAAGTGCGCAAACGTGTCCAGATGATGCGATTATTCCATTGGCATGTTGACCACTCGCGCTTTCGACTACCATAGTGTTTCCCCAATTTTGCCATTTCATCTGCCAAAATGAGATAGTACGTAGTGTGTGTTTTGTTAATTACCCTTCTTTATGTTTCCACGGCGTTGTACATGCTCCCCTTCCCCCGTTTTGCAGATTTTTTAGACCAATGGTGCTGGAAGAGTGTAGGTGCTGCATGGTTAACAAAATGGCGGGAAGTACACACCGATACGTGCTAAACTTGGTAGCGAAGAAGAAAACGTCGTACTGGATAGAATGGCAGATGTCGTTAGCAAATGAGAACAAGGCAATCGATGATAGCTTAAAGCCAATGGATTTGATTGCATTAATTCCATTCGAAAGTGAGAGGAACGTTTTGTTGGATAACGACAAAGGGACTGTTAAATATCATAATTTGAAAAAGATTTTAAAATACAATAAACATTTAATAGGATTGGTAGATTTTTCCATGAATAAAACGGAAAATATGTGCGACGTTAAGTTAATTAATGAAGACATTTTTCCCCAACAATCGGGAAATGAAAAAAATAGATTAAAATTAAATTGTCTTACGTGTAATAAGTTCAATGCCTATTTTTTGTGTAACTTAATGACAAATATAAGAGAATTTCAAAGTGTGTATTTGAGTAGGAACTCCTCCCTATTTAACATAATTCTGAACCCTACCTTGTGTAATAGCAATTTGAAGGAAACGAAAAAGAGGTCCTTTAGTAACGGTTGTTTGGATGAAGAAAATCGGGGATCGAATCAAATGTGGAGACGTAATTTAACCAAATTGGAAAAGTACATATTGAATGTTATGAAAGATTATAATTTATTAAATGAGTCTCAAATAGAGGCCGTTAAAATGGTTTTTCTAAATAAAAATAGCATTTCGTTAATACAAGGCCCACCAGGTACAGGCAAGACGAAAACAGTTATTGGGATTATATCGGCTTTGTATGCCATTATTAATCACAGGAATAATGAGGAAAAAAGAGAACTAGCAAAGAAAAAGAATTGTGCTTATAATGAGCAGAGCGAAAATTGCAATAAAAAAATTTTGGTCTGTTCTCCCTCCAATTCTGCAATCGATGAGATTGCCAAGAGGATCCTAAATGATGGGTTAATAAATTTTCTCAATATTGGGGGATCGAAAAGTGGTAGCAAAAAGAGCAGCCGAAGTAGGAGTAGGAACAACAGCATCAAGAGCAGCAACAGCAGCAACAACGGCAGCAACAATAGAAGCAAGATGAGCGTATTTTGGGGAGATGGCCAGGTTAACGGTGTGACGAATCCAAAGATGAAGAAAATGCTGAACGCACAAAGTTCACACAGAAGAGTGAAAAGCGAGAATGGAGAAGAAAGCCGTACTAGGGATAGGGACTTCCCAAAACAAACCATCACGCCCAAATGCATCAGAATAGGTATATCGAAGAGGACACATGAAGAAATACAACCCATTTCCCTAGATTACATATTCAGTAAGAGAAAAAATATGGAAAAAAACGTGTACGAAACGCGCTTTAATGATAAAAAGAATAAAATGTCCCTTTCTCTTAAGGCGATAGATCACACATGTAGCAGAGTGGAAGAAGTGAGAGGGAAAGTAAATCACAACGATTCTAAGAAGTACTGTTTCGATTTTAACGAAACCAAATCTAAATCAACATCGCTTGAAAAAATCGAAAATGTAAACGATTTTTTTTCAGAAGAAATTATAAACAATGTGGATATAAAATATTTGGAAAAATTGTTATATCTATTTAATGAATCTTTTTCTCATTACGAATGGAGCTTGGAAAAACTGAAAGCAGAAAAAAAATCCTTTGACGAGAAGAAAAAAAAACTGATAGATACGGACAAGGAAATAGGTTCTTTCTATGCAAATAGTAATAAGGATAATATGATTTTCGAAAGTGAAGTGATATTTAGCACCCTATCAGGAAGTGCATCTCCCGTAATTGAGAACTTAGAATTTGAATATTTAATAATAGATGAAGCTTGTCAGTGTGTGGAATTAAGTTGTTTAATACCTTTCAGATTAAAAATTAAAAATGTAATTATGTTGGGAGATCCAAAGCAATTGCCAGCCACCACATTTTCATCTGATTGTACAAAATATGGATACAGTAGATCATTATTTGAAAGGCTGCTAATGTGTAATGCTCCAAACGTTTTGCTTAATGTGCAGTATCGTATGAGAGAAGAAATTTGCTGCTTCCCGAACATGTATTTTTACAAGGGGTTGATAAAAAATGATGAAAATTTAATGAAGAAGTCGTCATTTTATTTGCATTATTTAAATCTATATGGGTCTTATAAATTTATCAATATCGAGGGAATAGAATCCACTACATGTCATAAGTCGTACATTAATTATGTAGAGGCCTATTTCATATTCAAATTAGTATTATACATTCACCACTTTTTTAGTAACAAAAATGATGAAAATCCAATTCCTAGTTTTTACAAGTTTTCTGCTAATTTTAGCTTGAGTGATATAGGAATTATTTGTCCGTACCTATCTCAAGTGCATTTAATAAGAACAATGTTTGAAGGTTATTTTCCATCGAGTAGCTCGCCAGAAGTTTCCACGGTGGATTCGTTTCAAGGGAGAGAAAAGAGTATCATCATTTTTTCTTGCGTGCGTTCAAATCGTCAGGCGCTGGAAATGTTTAGAAACAGGGATGAATTAGAAAATGAAAGTGGAAATTTTTATCCACGTGGGCAAAAGGGAGGTTATCGTAGTTATAGTGACCGAAGTTTGGATGACGCCCCCTTTGACGACGCCACTTCGGATGACTCCTGTGTTGACGAGCTGCATACGAAAAAGTGGTTTAACGTGGACCGGAAATGTGTGCCAACTGAGAATGACTTCAAATCGGTACATAATAAACGTGGAAATAATATCGGATTTTTAAAAGATGAAAGAAGATTAAATGTCGCTCTTACCAGAGCGAAGGATTGCTTATGGATAATAGGAAATAAAAAGAATTTGGAAAAAAACGCCATGTGGGATTCGTTAATAAAAGATGCAGTTGCAAGAAATTATTATTCAGATTTAGATCTAAATTTTGGCCGGAGCACGACAGAGGAAAACATAAAAGGCATAATTGATACGTATTTTTCTCAAATTGGTAAGAATGCAGCGGAAGGGAAAAACTTCAAGGATGGTGAAAATAACATAAATCACGAGATATTTAGCTCATCCAATTCTGACAGTAGCATAAATGGATTCAGAAGAAATAACGGAAGTCTCTTTAAAGAAAGAAAAGATTTTTCGCGAGTAAATTATATCACTGGGACTGAGAAAGAATTGAAAACCAACATGAATCCGAGTACGGTGCTTCAACGTGAATTTATGTTCAGCAAGGCTTATACTGGCAACAGATATTGGGGGAATGGCGAAAATGGAAAAAATGAAAACATAAAAAATGGTAATTTTGGGAGGAACGTAAAAAAAAGACCAAACGATGGAAGCGGAGAAGCCGAGCAAGAGGATCTGTTCCTCAAAAAACGGAGGCACAACTACTGAGAAGTTTCTGTAGTTACTTGTCTGTCGTGTGTACTTCATAAGAATTAAAAAAAATTCGTCATAATGATAGGAAAATAATGCCACTGACAATTTCTTAATATTCGAATAATAGCAGTATGACAACTGGTTCATTTGGGGGAGTAGTGACAGGGAAGGAAGAAACAAACGCGTAATGCCAAGTAGGCAACTGCTGGGTGTTGTTAAACTTTGGTTTCAAATGAAGAAAGGGGGGAACTGGGAAGTGTTAATAATTGCAAAGACTGCGGACAAGTATTTTTCTAATTAATCATTTGGAATGTTGCTGCATATTTTTCTTTATTTTTTTTTTTCGCATTTTTAACATACCTTTTAATGCTAAATCGAACTAGGAATGTGCGATGTGTGAGCACGACCTATTTGTTAATAGCGCTATTTTTTTTATAACCATAACTATAGCGATATCTATAGCTATAGCTGCTTTGAAGGACGTTGCGTACATAGAACGCCCCACTATTTGAACAATTTTTTTTTTCTTTCTTCTCCTTCGTTTGTTATTCGTTTAATGTTCATTTTTTAAAGAGGAAAAAACCTCAGAGCTTGCGAACACATTTGCGGTGTCCTTTTTATTCGGACCTTTGACTTAATTTTGCCACATTTTTATCAAGCACTTTCTCAGGCCCTGGTCTATGCCTTCCCGTTTAATGAGAAATTGTAAAAGTGAAGCTCATGATTATGGGAACTTTCCTTTTATCCACTTAAGAAGTGACCATGTTTGTAATTACGTTCTCCAAGTGCGCAAATTGGGTGCATACAGCTAGTGTGCTTGCCGTGAGAAAGGAAAAGGAAACAGTCGAATAAATCAGCAATCAAATAAATTGGAAAACAAATGAGCAAATAAATAGGCATACGAATAGGCAGATAAATAGGGAAACAAATGAGCAAATAAAAAGGCATACGAATAGGCAGATAAATAGGCATACAAATGAGCAAATAAATAGGCATACAAATGAGCAAATAAATAGGCATACAAATGAGCAAATGTTCATTATCTGAAAATAAGAATATCATCGCAACGTAGAACCGATGGATGACCAATTAGGAAATTTAATAAGGCATATATAAACATGTGAACATGTAAGTATACACGTGTTGGAGCATCTTTGAAGGAGACGGGGAAGGTCGCTTTTCTCGCCTATATGAAGTAATTTTTAACACTTGGAGGACTTCAACAAAGTGATGTTTTGTCCTTTTATTTTTAAATTGTCCCTCTCCCGTGTAAATGATCAAACAGTTGGTCTATGTTTTGTAAGAACGTATTTTATCTGTTCTGCGCGCAAAAAAAAAAAAAAAAACGGAAGGACGAATTAACCGCTTCTCCGAATTGCAAATGGAAGACTCTTGGATTCTCTTAATTTTAATAAAAAGAAGAGCAA